AACTGCAGCCTCCACCTCTCCCAGCTCAAGCAATCCGTTCATCTTAGCCTCCTGAGTAACTGGGACTACAGGCGCATGCCAGTATACCCAGCTAATTTTTTGTATTTTTGGTAGACAGTGGGTTTCACCCCATTGCCCAGGCTGGTCTCGAACTCCTGGGCTCAAGCAGTCTGCCCGCCTCAGCCTCCCAAAGTGCTGGGATTACAGGCATGAGCCACTGCACCCAGCCAAAAGCATGCAGTTTACATAGCATTTTCATTTACCACCTTCCAGCCAGCTACCTCCACTTGGTAACCTTCATTCAATCCAAAACAAAAGGCCTCAATCCCCTGTATGGCCTGGATTCCATGGAATGGGCTGGAGGTTCAGATGTTCCTCGCCGGAAGAGAATGAATCTCTGGGTTGGCCATTCCTGGATTCCTTAACTTGGAACTCTGAACACACATTCTTCTTAGCCCATAAGGTCATTCTCAGGGTGTGCTTCAGTTAAGTTTCTGCTGTCAGGTGCATCTGCCATATATGATTTTCTTAACACATATTTATTGAGCACCTATTATTTGCCAGGCAGTATTCTAGCCCAAGGAATACAGTCATGAACAAGACAGACAAAAATATTTTGTTGGCTGAGGCAGGTGGGTCACAAGGTCAAGAATTTGAGATCAGCCTGACCAACATGGTAAAACCCCGTCTCTACTAAAAGTACAAAAATTAACCAGGCATGGTGGCATGTACCTGTGATCCCAGCTACTTGGGAGGCTGAGGCAGGAGAATCGCTTGAACCTGGGAGGTGGACGTTGCAGTGAGCCGAGATCACGCCACTGCTCTCCAACCTGGATGACAGAGCGAGACTCCGTCTCAAAAAATAATACTAATTTCTTAATGGAGTTTACATTCTAGTGGGAGAGGAAATGCAATAAATAGAATGTGAGAAGGTGATCATTGCTGTAGAGAAAAGAATAAATCAAAGAAAACCGAAAGGAATGCCATGAGTGGAAGGAGGTTGCCAATTTAAATAGGGCCATCGTGGAGGACCTTACTGAGAAGGTGACAAATGAGGAAAACCCTGAAGTAGGAGAGACAGTAGGGCACACTTGAATGTAAGGAAAGAACCTGCCTGGTGAGAACAACAGCAAGGACCAATAATTCAATATTATTGGGAATTATGTCTACTAGGAAGACCACTGAAATTAGGAATTAGGAAACGTAGGCATTAGGGTGAGCTCCTGGTATATCCACCTGTGTGGGCATTAGCAAGTCACTTAACATCTCTAGCATTCAGGTGTAAAATACAAGGATGAGCCGGGGAAATTGAATCATTTTGGAATTTCTTACTCACTCAACTATTTGTTTAATAAAAATGGAGTCATTAAGAGGCCGTTAGATGGATGTAGAGAAAGGGAACCCTTGGTGGGAAGGTAAATTAGTACAGCCATTATGGAAAGCAATATGGAAGGTCCTCAAAAAATTAAAAATAGAACTACCAGCAGTCCCACTACCGGGTATATATTCAAAGAAAATGAAGTCAGTATATCAAAGCGATATTTGCACTTTCATGATTATTGCAGCACTATTCATGATAGCCAAGATCTGGAATCAGCCTAAGCATCCATCAGTGGATGAATGAATAAAGGAAATATGGTATATATACATAGGGAATACCATTCAGCCTTAAGAATAAGAAAATCTTGTCATTTGCAACACGGATGAACCCACAGGACATTATGCTAAGTGAAATAAACCAGGCACAGAAAGACAAATACTACATGATCTCACTTACATACGGAATCTAAAAAAGTCAAACTCTTAGAAGCAGAGAGTAAAAGAGTGGTTACCATGGAGAAGGCGAGGTTTAGAGAAATGATGATCAAAGGATACAAAATTTTTGTTGAATGGGAGGAACAACTTCAAGAGCCCTAGTGTCCAACATGGGGACTATTGTTAATGTATTGTATACTTGAAAAAAAAAATTAAGTAAAAATGCTACTTGCTTGGAAGAAAAAAAAAGGCTACATAGCATTTAGCACTTTTAATTCACAAAGCAGGGAAATAATGTGATGCATTTAAGAAAACTTCCCATCACAAATGCTTACAATAAAAGGGTTCAGTACTTAAATGTTAAACTTCAGTAGTCTGTAATTACACCAATGCCTCATTTCCTGAAACCGATCTGTGGGGTGGGACTAGATGTGATAAAGGTTAAAAAGATGTGATGTGATGATAACAGATTTCATTTTTTCTTTTGAGTTTTATTTTATTTTTATTGACATATTTGTACATATTTATGGAATAAAGTATGGTGTTTCAACACATGTGTACATGCTCCTTAAAACCATTCTTTGTGGTGCCTTCAAGATAGTTTTGCTTAAGTAGCATGTGATGGTGAGTAGCGCTGTTCATATTAGGCAAGTTTCTATTTAGTTTGATCATTTCAACATTTGGCGTGATGTGCTCTGTGCCTGCTTTTTTAAAACTGAGATCAAATAATAATGTATTTGTTGCCACCTGAATGCACAACCAAGTCAGGAGGCTGATGCCCCCTCAGAGCAGAGCAAGGTAATGCTGCTTTCTGCATGTTACTTTCATGGTCTATTATGTGTTTTTGTATTGTTTTATATAAATATGCTTTGCATAGAGTCACAAACAAAAGTAATGAATAGCTATATAAATACAGAGAGTCAGTTCCCTGTATATTTACATATTTTGGGTAACCTATGTTGATTAAAATCCACAGGGCTCAGATTGTCTTTGCAATAACAGTCCCTCATCTAGGAAAGGAAGAGTTTTAGAATCTTCTCGACAACCTTGAGTTTGTTTCTAGATTTTTCTACTTGGTAGCACTTTACAGCCATTTCTAGCAAAGAAGCACACTTTATCTTTCTCCAGATTGAAATGTTTTTTCCTTTCTGTTGAGGTAGGTGACACCGCAACTGATTCGTTATCACAAGGGCCATTTGAGGAAGATATCACCATCACGTGCTACTTAAGCAAAACCATCTTGAAGGCACCACAAAGAATGGTTTTAAGAAGCAGTTTAAGTGAAGTAAATCAGATTCAGGGTCACTCATTACTCAAGTTCTACCTGACACTGCTGAGCTGGAAAGCAAATTATCTGAGTCACCATAATCTGAGGGGTTTTTTGGGTTACATTTTGCTATCTCTCTGTTTTTGCAACAACAAAGTTCTAAGTTGATCTCAAATAAATTACAATTTTAATTTTATATAACAAGGGAATCTGTATTAACATAAATGATCGAAATCACTTCTTCCTACAGAGAAGGGAAGGAGTATGAGGGAACTAACATTTTTGCATCCTTACTATGCCCCAGATTCTGGGCTTACTAAGTAAGTAAGCAAGTGTGCCATCTCATTTAATTTCACTAGAGCATATCATTATTCCTTTTTTTTTTTTTTTTGAGATGGAGTCTCACTCTGTCACCCAGGCTGGAGTGCAGTGGCACAATCTTGGCTCACTGCAACCTCCTCCTCCCGGATTCAAACCATCCTCCTGCCTCAGCCTCTCAGGTCGCTGAGATTACAAGCATGTACCACCACACCCAGATAATTTTTGCATTTTTAGTAGAGATGGGGTTTTGCCATGTTGGCCAGGCTAGTCTCGAACTCCTGGTCTCCAGTGATCCTCCCACCTCAGCCTCCCAAAGTGCTGGAATTATAGGCATGAGCCACCACACCAGACCACATTATTTCTGTTTTTAAATGGGGAAGTGAGCCTCAGAGACATCACACAAATCATATGTTAGGATATATCAAAAACCTTCCAAATTTCTGTGCTTTTTCCTAAAAAGCATGCTGACTATCTAGTAACCTATCCTACTGCTGTTGTTAATATTCACCTGACATAAAACTCAAGAACAGCACTGTGGCTGCAGTAGAGTCGGGGTAATCCAGGAAGCAAGGAGCCTGTCTCTTCTCCCCAGGTGCTCTCACTTCTGCATAGTGAGATTATTCAGGCTGAGCCTCACTTGGGACTGAGCCACCACCTGTACAATTCCTATCTTAGTAACAGCAGCTAGTGCCGAAACCTTGGAAAGGAACAATACTCTCAGGCTGAATTGAAACCCCTCTCTACTAAAAAAAATACAAAAAAAAAAGTAGCCGGGTGAGGTGGCGGGCGCCTGTAGTCCCAGCTACTCGGGAGGCTGAGGCAGGAGAATGGCGTAAACCCGGGAGGCGGAGCTTGCAGTGAGCTGAGATCCGGCCACTGCACCCCAGCCTGGGCGGCAGAGCAAGACGCCGTCTCAAAAAAAAAAAAAAAAAAAAAAGAAAGTCGCATGCCAATTTACAATTGTGTATTCCAGGACAAAGACTGTGAAAAGGTTTTTGCATGTCTTTTATGATAACTAGTTTCACTGAATAGATTATTTCATAGCCCAGAAAGTCACTGTGTGACCAAAGAATCAGAAATAGAAACGTTGGCACCACTAAAGGATAGTTGTCTACTTAACAGATTATGATGTGATCTCCTGATGACTTTTCCAATCTGGAGAACCAGAAATGATTGCTTATACTCAGAGCTCCATCTCATAGATGGTGCTATAGAAAGAAAATTCCTGTTCTCTCGACTCTTCTTTTTTTTTTTTTTTAACCCTTTGGTAACATCCAGCCCCTGAGTACCTGTGGCCTGTGTACCTGTTTGATCTGTGAATTTTGAGTTTTAAGCATTCCACCCTGAAAAGTGCAAAACCCCTTCTAAACTGGAGCGGAAGAATTTGGCTTCATTATACTTTTAATGTAGCCTTTGTACAATCCTTTCTTGCTTCCTGCTCAGAATGGCGTTTTAGAATATGGATATCTCACACTCACACTGAAAAACCTAGACATCTATACGACCCTTTTGGTGAAGAATCCACCAACTGGCCCCTAGCATGGTTTCAACAGTTCAGAAGCCTTTTTCTAGCACTTCTTAAGCCGAATTCAACTTAACCTAACTAGTGACTGTGCATGTTTGTGTGTATCGATGACAGAGGTCCAGAGGAACCAACTTAAGAACTGTAGTCACATTTTATAAGTGAAAGCATTATTGCTGCCCCAAGGACCTGACAACATTTTATGATATGATGCTGTTAATACCATAAGCCTGAAAAGAGCGGGGACTGTCTTGACACGTAGATTCACTTCCTGCAAAGAGAAAACAGGTTCTGATTTAATTATCTTATGGCTGTCTATATTTGTCTATTTGAGAGATGAGACTACTTTTATCATAACAAGAGATTGTTTCAAACCAAAGTAACTGTTTTTAAAAAATACCTTCAATATATTCACTTGGCTTTTAAAAATGTCACTTTGAAGCATTCCTTAGCAGTCATGTAAAACAATTTTATATATATGTATGTATGGTATTTATAAATTTTATATATATGGCTTGAATTATTTTCAAAACTTTGTAATTATCAGCAGAAAACAGAACTCAGATGGAAAACAGTAACCTTAGAAAGCAGAGATCTAAACTCTGGAAACTTATAATATGTTTGTTCTGTTAAAAATGACAATGTTATTGTCCAAAAATAAAATGAAAAGGGCCTTTAGAGTCAGAAAACCAGGACTTGGATCAATTGCATGACCATGGGCCAATCGTTACCACCCTGAAGGACTGTTGCCTCATTGAAAAAATGGTTATACAGGTTGAGTGTCCCTTATCTGAGATGCTTGCGACTATAAGTGCTTCAGATTTCAGATTTTTTGGGATTTTGGAATATTTGCATTCCACTTACCAGATTAACATCCCTAATCTGAAAATCCAAAATCTGAAAATTTTTGAGTACTGATGTGACACTCAAAAAAAATGCTCATTGGGGTATTTTGGATTTCTGATTTTTGGATTTGGGATACTTAACCTGTAATAGCAGTACTCACCTCTTTGAGTTCTTGCATGTTTCAAATGAGCCATGGGTATGAAATACTCAGCGTAGAGTGCACACACATGACCTTTGACAGGGTCTCTCCCCCTGGGTACACTCAAGTCCTCAGACACTTTTTTAATTGTTTTAGTTCCTCCACTTGTCTTTCCACTGCTAAATCCCTAGAACCTAAAATAGTACTTGCCACTTCATAAGTGCACAAAAAGTACTTGTGGGAGTCAGGAAGACAGAGGGCAGGTAGGTGGGTTCTTGTTTTGTCTGATTTCCCCAGTATCCGAGTCACCTGCTTGGTTTCTGTTTCACTCCTGGATTACTGTTTCATGAGTCAACCATTTGGCTCTCAAACTCCACAGCTCCCCAGCAAGCCCATCACCTTCCCAGGTGAAGTCCATGCTCCTTAGAAGTCACTCCCATCTCTAGATCTGGCTGGTGTGCCCTTTGATTAGGCACAGCTATACTCTGTAAAGGCAAAGGGTATCATTATAATCATAGTCAGAAAAAGTGAGGGTTGCAGACAGTGGTAGTCATTAGTAGTCTTTACCAAATATTTCTCCCCCTTTCTGGGTACATAAAAGAGTTGCACTCCCCTGACCCCTTCTAGACAGATATGGCCATGTGAGTTGCTTTAACACCAACTTGTGAACGTGAACAGACATGTCACTCTAAGCATAAGTGGTAAGAGGAGGATTTGCCATGTCCCCTTTGCCGGTCTTGTTCAACTTGAAAGCCAGTTTCCATGAAAAAGCATTAGTATCACCATTGTGGGGGTAGCATTCCCTTGATCCAGGTCAGGAACATAGGGTTCTTCCCAGCTGTGGTTTAGGCCTCACCAGGAAAGTGTGGATTCTACAAGGATAGGAGATCAGGGGTCCATTCTCAGAAGCTCCAGACTGAGGTGTAACATGACCTTCAAGTCCTGATATTGAGAATCTTTCTGATGCCAGTACTTTATCTTTGACAAGTCATTCATGTATGATTTAAGAAAAGAGCTGAACAATTAGTAAGTAGGATGATATTTGTATATAGCATCTCAGAGATTACCAAACAGAGGAGTTTTAACTTGACTTCCAAAGTTTGAGTTGGAATTTTACACTTCTAAATTAGATTTAATAATTTTTCAAAGCTTCAGAAATAATAGGAAATTTATGAAGACCAGAAACCTCACATCAATTACATCAAGATAAATGCCAATGAGAGAGGGGAAGAAAAATACATAAGCATTACAAAAAACAGACACTTTCACACAGAGATACACACACAGACATGTGATCCATATATAAACCTTTTCTACTAAGCAAAATAGAAACCAAAAATTGTTTTAATTACATTAATAAATAAAAAGAAAAGAAAAACCAGATTTAATGCCAGGCCATTCCAGTTTTGCTCCAGCCTGTGTCTCCTAAACAGCTTCAGGTGACTTCTGTGGTCTTCCATCTCCTATTTGAAAATGTGTTGTTGAACTAGATGACACCTACAGCCATGGAATTCAGAAGCCTATTGTCACTTTAAGGTGAGTGGGAACACATTTTGTTCTAGCTAGAAGACCAATTTAAATTAAACTGGAACATTTTGAAAAAAAATAAGCTTATTGATTCACTTATGCCTGACTCCTTCAAAACATCTTTTGAGTTAGGTTATGACAAGAGACATAAAAATAAAGTTAATAATAACATTGAATGCAAAAATTAGGTTCCAAGAAAGTACAAGAATGCGAATACACTTGCTGAAAGGGAAAATACAGCTGTGATTACATGTGAGATATGGCTGTAGGTTTCTTGAAAGTCAAAGTCAACGCAAAAAGTTTACCCATGACATTTGTATAGCTCTTAGGAAAGTCCAAAGTTTTCCAAATGTTAAAGGCATTTAAAAAAGACTGTCCATATGGCACATTTTTAAAAAGAAAAGAAAAGAGAAAAAGAAAGAAAACCTAAAGAAATAAGCAATATCTCTGAATAGGCAATTCACAGAAAGAGAAACCTAAATGGGTAGTAAATATTAAAAGATGCCCAAACTCTTTCAAAATTAGGAAAATACTAATTAAATCATTGATAAAGTGTCAGTCTATAATCATCAGATCGACAAAAACTAAAAAGTTGCATAACATCAAATGCTGGTGAAGATATATAGAAATGGAATCCCTGATACCTTGCTGGTGAGGATATAATCTAATAGAGCTATTTGGGAAAATAATCTCACTGAGTTTGCTGACATTTAGTATGGATATACCCAACAATCCAACAATTCTACTGCTGAATATACCCTCCACGAATCACTCAGGTGCTCAAGGATAAGATGGGTTCATGTTCATGGTAGAGCTGTTACTGTTAGTAGACTTACCAATGTATGAATAGCATGGCGTGTAATGGAATGTAAAAAGCAATCACTTATGCTTATATGTAGCATCATGAGTAGATCTTTAAAAACAGTGTTGAATAAGAAAAGTTAGAAAGATACTTATACCACAGTATCATCTATGTAAATTAAGCACAGTGAATGCCAAAATTTTTCACATCTTCTGTGTGTGTGTGTGTGTGTGTGTGTGTGTGTGTGTGTGTGTAAAAGGTAGAATGGATGAACATATATATTATAAATAGTATATATTTCATATATATTGTAAAAGCTGACTATGGTTGGAGGGGGCTGTGAGATTAGAGACAGAAGATAATAGAGAAAAAAGTAAAACCAAAGTAAATGAAACAAAATAGAAGCATTCTATAGCTTGATGATGATAAAATGTCATGCAGTTCATGATCATCTTAAATTTTCTTATCAAAAGTCCATGTTTAAAAAACTTTTCTGAACATTTAAAAGTTGAGGAAAAAACAAAATTAAGAACATGTGAACAATACCATAAAAACACCAACTCTATTTGAGAGCCTTCATGAAAGCTCAACTTGAGTCTCATACAATGAGAACTTACGGTAGTTTTAAAGGATTAGTCTTTCTCACTTGGGGAGAGAAAATGTAATAATACCTCCTTACAGTTACTGCAGTTGAGGACAGAATTCATTCATTCGAGTTCTATGTTAGTCTGTTCTTGTGTTGCTATAAAAAAAATACCTGAGAGGCCGGGCACGATGGCTTACGCCTGTAATCCCAGCAGTTTGGGAGGCTAAGACAGGCAGATCACCTTAGGTCAGGAGTTCAAGACCAGCCTGGCCAACATGGGAAAACCCTATCTCTACTAAAAATACAAAAACTAGCCTGGCATGGTGGCCCATACCTGTAATCCCAGCTACTCGGGAGGCTGAGGCAGGAGAATTGCTTGAACCCAGGAGGCAGAGGTTGTGGTGACCCAAGATCGTGCCATTGTACTCCAGCCTAGGCGACAGAGCAAGACTTGATCTCAAAAAAAAAAGAGAGAAAAGAGAAAAGAAAAGAAAGAAAAGGGAAGGGAAGGGAAGGGAAAAGAAAAGAAGAAAAGAAAAGAAAAGAAAAATACCTGAGACTGGGCAACTTTACAAAAAAGAGGAGTTTAATTCTCTTGAGGTTCTGGAGGCTGTACAAGCACAGCACCAGCATCTGCTTGGCTTCTGGGGAGACCTCAGGGAGCTTTTACTCATGGCAGAAGGTGAAGCAAGAGCAGGCATGTCACATGGCAAAAGCAGGAGCAAGAGAGAAAGAGAGACAATGGGAGATACCACACACTTTTAAGCAACCAGATCTCACAAGACCTCACTCACTGTGTGGAGGACAGCCCCAAGCTATGAAGGATTTGCCCTGATGACCCAAGTACCTCCCACCAGGTATAACTGCTCAGTGGATTCTCCTTGCCCACTGCCTAGACAGAGCTGATTTATCAAGGCAAGGGAATTGCAATACAAAAAGAGTAATTCACACAGAGCCGTCTGTACAGGAGACTGGAGTTTTATTATTACTTAAATCAGTCTCCCCCAAAACTTGGGGATCGGAGTTTTTAAGGATAATTTGGCAAGTAGGGGCTCAGGAAGTAGGAAGTGCTGATTGCTTGGGTTGGAGATGAAATCATAAGGCATCAAAGTGAGTTTTTCTTGCTGTCTACTGTTCATAGGTGGGACTGCAGATCTGGCTGAGCCAGATTACCAGTCTGGGTGGCGTCAGCTGGTCCATCCGAACAGAACACAGGGTCTGCAAAGTATCTCCAGCACTGATCTTAGGCTTTACAACAGTAATGCTATTCCCAGGAGCAATCTGGGGAGGTTCAGACTCGCAACCAGAGGCTGTATGGCTCCTAACTGTAATTTCTAATCTTGTAACTAATTTGTTAGTCCTACAAGGGCAGACTGGTCCCCAGGTAAGTAGAGGGTTTATTATCATCTTTATTTCAAAGTTAAACTATGAACTAAATTCCTTCCCAAGGTTAGTTTGGCCTACACCCAGGAATAAACAAGGACAGCTGAGAGGTTAGAAGCAAGGTGGAGCTGGTTAGGTCAGGTCTCTTTCCCTGTCATAATTTCCTCAGTTATAATTTTTGCAAAGGCGGTTTCACAGGCTCCACCTCCAACACCAAGGATTATATTTCAACATGAGATTTGATGGGGACATATATCCAAACTATATCAAGTCCTGATTTATATGAGGTCCTCCTCCTCAGCCCAGGACCTGGCACATAACGGTACTCAGAAAGTCTGTAGAATGAATGAATTAACATTTTAAAAGCATAGAATTATTATTCATATAGCTAAACCTTGAAACGATAAACCAAAAATAAAATTCAAAGGCCTCCCACAACCATTTGAATGGGCTCCCTCCTCAGCCAGGTGCTCTAAAATTTAACCTGAAAGACTGGCTCAGGCCATGACAGGAACTGGGGGGGTTGGACAGTCTCACGATACCCCTCCAGCATTAACATCAACACAAACTTTAAGTCTGGGGAGAAACATTTACAGTCTTTTGAAGCATGCTACTTGGAGGCTTCATCTGCATGATAAAACCTAGGTCTTCACATCCCCTATCATAACCCAGACATTCCTTTCTATAGATAATAACTCTTTCAACCAGCTGCCAATCAGAATATGTTTAAATCTACATAAAGGGTGAGTTGTCCCACCCTTCCAGATCAAACCAATGTAAATCTTACATGTATTGATTGATGTATTATGTCTCTCTGAAATATATAAAATTATATGCCCTTTATAAGTCATATACTTTGTTCTTGGTGAAATTTCAGGTTTTGGGAGGGAAGGGGGTGTGTGTGTGTGTGTGTGCGCGCATGTGTGCGCGCGCACCTATGTGTCTCCTTTCCTAGATTCCCTGGACAGGCATAGCCAGGGACCCTGGTTAAAGATTGATCCTGCAATCTAGTTAAATGATATATTCTAATAATTAGAACAAAATATTTTAATCATTAGAACAAAAAATTCCCCCAAATAACCTGACTATCCTAAGCTACAAAAACAAATTCGTGAGGTGCCAATAAGTTATATTTGCTTTATATGAACAGAATATTCTTCCCCAAAGATATTGAAGAGTTGTAAAGCCAAGTCTGGAAGATATACATTTGCGTAATGAAAACTAAAAGGACTTTTCATTTTAAGAAAAGACTCTTTTGCATAAAAAATTATATCTTGTAAATATATGAAAATATGTATTTATAAGCTTTTAATCAGATAAATCTTAAGCAACGGAAGTGTTTATAGGCTAAGTGTTAGAATCTATTTTGGTATGAAGACCACTGAGAAAAGGAGACAAAGCATCCTTGAAATTAACCATATAAGCCCCTGGATAAAATAGATTCTAATTTATATAACTTTATAAAGTAAGGGGCATCTTCTAATGTGTAGTGTCCGGAAAATGTCTTTGTGATTAGATAGCTGGCTGCATGATGAGCATGCCCAGACACTCAGACGGAGAGGAACTGGATCATTCGATGGAGCAGAATAGACTGTGCTCAGAAATGACCTTCACAAGAACTTTAGATGTTGATTACCTTAGTTGAAAGGGCTCCAAGCAGGAAGAGTCATTAATTTTGGAAAAATTCAATCAATGATGTTTTTCACTTCTTTCAGCTGCTTCACACAGACTAATTATTTCCTTTTTAAAGCCTTGAGTTTTTCTGGCAAATTCTAATGTAGTAGAATGATAGCCCTTTCCAAGTGAGTGGGGGACCCTCACTTGTTGAACCTTGATCCCCAAAATCGGAGTCCCTTTTCCATCTTTTCCCTCTACTTTTGCTGTAAGGCTTAAATTCAGAATTCGAGTAACTAAATCCAATGATGAAGTCATAATACAGCTATCTAGACTGGAAGTTCTTCTGCTCTGAGTGGTTCATTATTATAGTTCTGTATTTGTCTTTAGCCTTATTTAAATCCCTTCTGTTGGGGTTTAAATCCACTACTTATCATTCTTCTATCCTAATAACCATTCATTTATTCATTTGACAAATATTTGTTAAATGTCCTTTATATGCAGGTTACATAGGAAGTACTCATTCCTAAATATTTTATTTAAACTTGCCAGTTTTAGTGGATGCTGTAGTTGGTGACCCAGATACTCCTTCAGAGCCAAGGTACTCTTTCTGCCAGCTGCTGGAATTGGTGGAAGCTGACAGCCCTCAGCTGCATCCCTTCTGGAAAATTGCCTTTGGCCAAAGGGAGCTGCCTCACACGAGGTCATGCGTCCTCCCTGGGCAGCCCACATCCAATGTCTGGCCACTGAGACTCATCCCCACTGCTTCAGTTTGGGCCAGTTCTGAAGGGCATCCCGGCTCAGGACTCCAACATGCCCCTCCCACCTGATCCTTCTTCCTTCACTGCTGTCATAGTGGTTTTGCCCAGAGCACGACCCAGTGGAACTCCCCACAGATCTCCATCTCACAGTCAAACCTCCATGGAAGCAAATCTAAGTCAGAGTAAACCACAGCATCACTTGTCACAGCCAATCTTCACAGTCCCTGCTATTTCTATTAATATAATCATTTTTAGTATCCAGAGAAACAATGGATATTTGGGCTCCCAAAATATCCATTGCTTATCCGATGCCAGACATCCAAAAACAAAACAAAATCTCTGACATTTTCCCCCAAAACTTTGCAACCTAACTTAAAGCATGTGAGTGATTCTCTGCGTCCAGATTATACTTAAAGAGAGTGATAAGATTAATGCTCTCTGCTAGTATCTTTTGAAAAGCAAACCATCATTAACTGGTCCAACCGAATGTTGCCAACTGATGCCTTCTCCATTGACCAACTTTCTGGGGGAAAAAAAGTATAGCATATTAGACTTTAGGTAGACTTACTGGTAGATTGTTTCACTAATGAGCAAAGCGAACATTGATAAGTGGCAAACCATTCACGTGGGTGTCTTTGTATTATGCAAATGAACTACTTCCTCTTGTCTCAGCTGTATTCTGCTTACTTAGAGTGAAGTTTAAGGCTGGGCCAGAGAGGGTGAGAGAGCTCCACCCTGGAAGGCCCTTGCAAGATAAACAGCAGTTTGAGCAGGGGCACTCTTTGCTTTATTTGTAACCTATTGCTAAATTGGGTTTCCAGAAATCGTTTACTGATGTTTATTTGTTTGGGGGGATTTTTTTGGGGTATGTGCTTGAGGAAAATGAATACAAATCTAATACCTTTTCCTGTGGTAGAAAATTAAAGACTTTCTTTAACTTTTTTGTTAGAAATAATTATTTTATTTATGCTGAACTGCAGGGAAAACAGGATATGAAGTCCCAAAACATTTCTGCTTTCTTTCTGAGTATTTAATTCAGTTTATCAAATATCTATTGAGCATCAAATCTATAGGATTCTCCACACTTGGGGTACACCAGTGAACAAAACAGACACAAGCCCTGCCCTGAGTTCTACTTTCTTTGCTCTGCTACCCTGTGGGAGAGAGAAGGAGGCGTGAGGGAAGGATGCAGACATGATGTGCAGCATATTTCCAGCTTTTCAGCACAAGCCTGCTTTTCATTATTCCGTCCTGTTCTCAGACCACATAACTCACTTATGTCCTTAGATTATACGGCCACTTTTATTTTGACTACCGAGACGTGATCTTTGGTGTAAATAAGACTGAAAATTCTCACCTCTTCTTCATCTGAAAATATTGCTGGGGAGACGAGGGGCTGAAAGGTGAAGGGAGGGAACTGGTATTTATTGAGCATTTAGTACACTCCATGTGCTTTACATGACATGCATTGAATCTGCACAATCTGCAAGTTGGATATGACTTTTATCCCTACTTTATGTATGAGAAAACTGAGACTGAGAGGTTGACTAAATAACTTTGCAGAGATCACACAGGAAGTAAGGCACTGACCCGGGACGGAGCTCAGGGCCCCTGCCTTCTCCCTTGAGGTGCTGACTCTGTGGGAGGCTCTCGGGTAGAAGTATCACACTTCCGGTCTACCGAACTTGTCAGCATACCTAGAGCTTGAGAAAGAATTTTTTTAATTCAGTGAACACTTATGCAGGTTTTGAAACCAGTGTGCTTTAAAATGAACTTGAGCAATAGAGCCTTCTGGGCCTAAGAAATTCAGAAAAAAAGTATTGCAAAGATTTGTGTAACAGTTAAGCCTTTCTTCATGATGATAGCCACAAACCTCCCCAGAGGTCATCTGCTGTGGCCTCTTAGATTCTTCTACAGAAGCTTCTCCCAGAGAATATACACGAGGTTTTCTGTGCATCCTACCCATCCAGCCACTTCTCTCCCATGTATCTTTGAACTGGGAACAATTCCACACTTAAATAGGGAAGTGTGACAAGAAAAGACTAATGATAACAGGTGAGGCTGCTCACCAGCGGCTGCTTTGGTGGGCTGGGAAACTTGTTTTGGAGAAGTTGTTTGAACTAGTAATTTATTTCTATTAAAAATGAACAACTCTGAATACCACTGTAGATTTATATTCCTTTGATATTTTAAAATTTTTTGTTCTTTCTCCTTCTAATAAAATTTAAGGCTAAATGTCTGTCTCTAGGGAAAAGAAGTTATTCAGTCATACTGGAGAGGAATATGAAAGGGAAGGCTTGAACTGTCGTTAGTCAGATACTTAAATCTGCTGATAGCATGTGTTCATTACTCTTCAGTCTTAAAGCTGGAAAATTAATGAATTTTCTGAAGCCAAAGGAAGGCGAACTTTTATTTTTCATGGGAGAATTAAAATATTAACATCTGTACAATATTATTTGTTTACCTTTATATATCTTGATTTGTTCCACAAAGAATTTGGAGTGGCTTATAAGAATTGTTAGCTCAACAGTGGGATAGATTCATGGATAGAGATATAAATAAAAATTAGTATCATTGTATGATTTTTGTTATAGTATGCTATGCAATTATTGACATTAAGCTGATATTCCTAAAAGCAGAAGCAAAGAGGAATACTGTATATTATGTCATTCATATTTTGTCCTGAAAGAATAAAATTCTTCAGTGAAGCAAAGATTTTCCTGACACTTAGGTCTGACAAGGATATTTTATCTGACATGGCCAGTGTTTTTCGATGACATTCTGACAAAAAAGTGAAGGCAGGTGTCATGGGAAACTTTTTAAAATTTTCCCTGAATGCAAACTGAGGATATAATGACCAAGTCCAACTCAATGGAAGCAATGTTCTGGATAAATTAGAAAGTGTGTGGTCAACATACACAACTTGCTAGTAGTCTACCTTAATTTCCAGAGTAAGGATACCAAAATCATAGCCCATGGCCCAGCAGCTTTCTCACCTCAACTTAGGGTGTGTGGATCCATCATAGAACTCTTTTCTGCTTAGACCAAACTGGGCTCAGATCCATTTCAAAACAGTGCTCTTGGTCTTCACTACCAATTGATTAGAGATGGAAAAAACTAAAGCCTGTTTTTTATCATGACAGAACCGTCTAGGGCATCAATATGCACTTCAAGAGACAGCGCAGGCCTCTGAAGTTGTACACACCATTATCTGTGTAGGTCTCTCGAAGTGTTTTTCCAGTGTGGGACTTCAGAGCTTTCAATCCACGAAAGACTCACCGTCAGGAATGCATTGACCGCACGTCCTTTAAACACTTTTCTTTAATATTTGTGTCAAGAGCTTTCACTAAAAGGTGAGCAGCAAACAGTTCAAAGGCATCTTCTGGCAAGAGTCTGGGCCCAGTGTTCTGTGCTGTTAATCAAAGGCAGAGCCGTATGAACTAAAAGATCAAAGCGCACCACCCACCGACACACTCTTTAGAACTTAGAGCCTGTCCCGGGCTGGCACCTGGCTTCCACCTGCACCTGGTGAGGGCGGGGTAGAACCTCTGCAGGACCAATCAAAAATACTTCTGCAGTGTCTACTGGGTGACAGAAAATGAGGATACGGTGTTGAACAGGTGCTTGTCCAGATTGGCCCTAGGCTAATAATTACACTATAATTAATTACTATTTTGGTATTTTTGTTTGTATTTATTTTTATTAATATACAACAATTGTACATATTTTGGGGGATATGTGATATTTTGATACCTGCATATAATGTGTAATGATCAAATCAGAGTAATTGAGATACTGTCACCCCAAACATTTATCTTTTCTTTGTGTTGGGGACATTACAGTTCTTTGCTTCTAGCTACTTTGAAGTGTACAATAAATTTTTGTTAACTATAATTTGCCTATTATTCTATCAAATACTAGAACATATTCCTTTTATCTGACTTTCCTTTGTACCCCTTGACCAACATCTCTTCACCCCGACTAATCACTATGTTTGTTATTTGCTGTGAAGGATAAGGACAGCTGGACTTGTCCTTAAAAGTGGGCTAAGTAGGCCGAGGTGGGCGGATCATGAGGTCAAAAGATCGAGACCATCTGGCCAACATGGCAAAACCCCGCCTCTACTAAAAATACAAAAATTAGCTGGGCGTGGTGGCGCGCACCTATAGTCCCAGCTACTTGGGAGGCTGAGGCAGGAGTATTGCTTGAACCCAGGAGGTGGAGGATGCAGTGAGCCGAGATCATTCCACTGCACTCCAGCCTGGGCAACAAGAGCAAGACTCCATCTCAAAAAAAAAAAAAAAAAAAAAAAAGGTGGGCTAAGTATCTTCCAGAACACAAATAAAAAAGAACAGACATGTTTCCAAAATTCTCACCAAGTATAGCCAAGTATACAGCATTGATTTTCATAGTCTTTTACAGATTGATAATCATCTTATTAGTTTAGGAATAAATATGTTGTTTATATTATAAGCAGATCTCTATTTATCTTGCCAGCTTAGGACTATAGAAATATGTTCGTTATGACTTTGGTCATAAAATGGTTTTTTGGTGGAATTCAGAGAATAGATTACTCACACAATCATCACAAGTAGATTCATTAAAGTTACTTTTAAATATTTAATAGTTACCATCAGATAAATCCGCAAGTGGACAACTTTTAAGGAATTCAGTGTTTCATAATTTTACGATGGTTAGAAGCATCTTATAGCAATGGGGACAAAAATGTGTGGTGGCTGTCATCTGGTGCTTTCTATCTCTCCATAAAGTATGAGAAACCTGCACTGAAAAGGAAAAAGAAACGTCAGAGAGTTGAGGAGAATAGAGCACATCGAAATTATTATTGTGATTTGTCCTCTTTACACAAAAGCAGAGAAAGCCTCTGACAACTGCCTACGTTGACTAATTTAGTGCTTGAAACTTTTAACCACAAACAGATATCCAAAGTGCACTACCCATTTGAAAGGAAGACTGTAGGGTCGGACTGTCTGGATTTGGATCCAACTCCTTCACTTACTAACTGTATGGACCTGGGCGCAGATCAGTTTCCTTACCTGTGTAAGGAAAACCCTGTGCCTCAGTTTCCCTTATTATTTATGACCTCTATAAATTGGACAGGTTAAAAGATAATAAGTAACAAGTCCTGGAGGCAACATAATTGAGACCCCCCACTTCCTATAAAATAAATTATTTTTAATTAGCTGGCCTTGATGGCACATGCCTATGGTCCCAGCTACTCAGGTGGCTGAGGCAGGAGGATCCCTTGAGTCCATTAGGTCGAGGCTGCGGTGAACTGTGATCATGCCACTGCACTCCAGCCTGGGTAACAGAGTGAGACCCTGTCTCAAAAAAAAAAAAAAAAAAAAAAAAAGAAGAACAGGAGCAATCTGTTAACAAGATAGTCAAAGAAAATTTATAGAATAAGAAGACAAATGTCAAATACGTAGACCAGTTTAGAGGACCCACAGCAGACAGCCTGCTGCTCAGCAAGACCAGCTTTCTCTTTCTCTTCCTCTTGTGCCACAGCCAGACTGCATTTCCCAGGCCCCCTTTGCAGCTTGGGATAGATAGCCAGTGGAACCTGAAAAGGAGTATGTCTCATGCCCAGGCCTGGCCCCTGAAGCTCTCCCTGGTGCCGTTCTGTGTTGTGAGGCTGTGGTGCAGTTATACAGTGGCAGATGTTTTTGCAGTGGCTGGGGGATTCTTTGTGTGGAAGTGCCAGAGTGGGGGCTGGCCCATGGGCAGAGGTGTCAGTCAGAACCATCAGTGCTGCTCTGAGGAGCCTGAACTTTACCTTGGGACCATGGAGATCCACTAAAGTGTGTGCTCTGTGTAGACAGGGGTGTAACAAGCAGATGTGCATTTCAGAACATTCACTCCCTTGGCTGGGGGAGGATACTGAAGAGGCCAGGAGAGGTGGGAATGGCGCTGAGGCTGGAAGCAGTTAGGAGGCTTGGTAATCACCAGGTGGAAAGGAATCGGGCTTGAAATGAAGTAGTGTTAGAGGGATGAAAGGGAGAGATAGATGCCCAAGGACATTGTAGAGTCAACTGTTCTGTTGGGTGTGGGGAGCTGAGATGCCACAATAAGAAATAAAGGTGGATACAGATGTCATCACATTTGGAGCTGCATCATGACTTTGGGTGCTTATGCTCATGCCTGCTGTTTTCTCTGAGTAGTTAGAAAATTTTTTTTAATTTGTTTGGTTTTGTTTTGTTGTTGTTTGAGACAGGGTCATGTTCACACCACTGAACTCACCCAGGCTGGAGTTCAGTGGTGTGATCATGGCTCACTGCAGGCTTGACCTCCTAGGCTCAAAGGAACTTCTCACCTCAGCCTCCCAAGTAGCTGGGACCACAGGCTTGCACCACCACGTCCAGCTAATTTTTTTTATTTTTGTTTTTTGGTAGAGACAAGGTTTCACTATGTTGCCCAGGCTGGTCTTGAACTCCTGAGCTCAAGCAATCCTCCTGACTCAGCCTCCCAAAGTGCTGGGATTACAGACATGAGCCACCATGCCTGGCCCAGAGGACTGTTATCAGCCCCCTCTCCACTGCCAAATTCTACACTCTATCCATCCCAAACTATGGCTATTTCGTTTATTGCTGCCCTTGTAGGTACTATTGCTCCGTCTGAAATATGCACATCCCCTTGATAATCTAGAAAGTTTCTAAACAGCCTTTTACCTACATCAAGTCTTCTGGGAAGGCTTCTCTCACTTCAGAAAAGCCCAGCTGTAGCCCCTTTGAGCCTTTTCTCTCCCATGCCCTCTCCCTTCTGGTGGCACTTATAAAAGTGGGGTCACCATGCTCATGACCTCTTTACAGCTAGACAGACAGCGTCTGATGGCAGGCAGGGATTTTTTTTTTTTTTTTTAAGACAAAGTCTTGCTCTGTCTCCCAGGCTGGAGTGCAGTGGTGCAATCTCTGCTCGCTGCAACTTCCACCTCGCGGGTTCAAGCGATTCTCCTGCCTCAGCCTCCCGAGTAGCTGGGATTACAGGTGCACGTCACCACAACCAGCTAATTTTTACATTTTTAGTAGAGACGGGGTTTCACCATGTTGGTCAGGCTGGTCTCAAACTTCTGACCTCAGGTGATCCACTTGCCTCGGCCTCCCAAAGTGCTGGGATTACAGGTGTGAGCCACTGTGCCTGGCCGGAGGGATTTTTTTTTTTTTTCCATCCTTGTGTTTCCAATGACTAGCCAAGGACCTATGATTAATAGGTGCTCAGTAGACATTTGATAAATCAGCTAATTCATTAATGAGAATAAAGGGACAGGAAAAAGATGTGGATCTTGAAGTAGTAACATCCCCACCTCCTTTCACATGAGAATAGAGGAGCTAAGGAGCAACTCCTGAAAGGACCAATAGCATGGAAAATTTGATAAATAAAGTTGGAAGCAAAAAATATATACATTCCACACAGTTGTATGATTCCTGTGCTTTTTGTTGCCTCAACTGCTTCATTCCTTCCTCTTTTGGCCTTGTGCTTGAAGGCTGGCACTACAGCAACTGTCTCGGAATATGAGGGGACCTTAAATTTGGAGGCTGGCTCTGGAAAGGGAGAGCCTAAAGATAGTAGGCACCTAGGCCCCTGGATACCAAAGAACCAAAATACCAGCACATAACTGCCCAGCTCTGGACAGCTTTTCTTGAGGGTTGCATCTCTATGTTTAGGCCACTATTAGTTTGGGTTTTCTATTGTAAGCAGCGAAACCTAACACTATGTGGAATGGCTTGCCTTCTGATAACTGCCATAAGTGCCCTCATGATTCTTTATCTTTTTAAATTTTATTCATTTATTTTTACACAGAGTGTCACTGTCACTCAGGCTGGAGTGCAGTGACACGATCATGGCTCACTGCATCCTTGACCTCTCAGGCTCAAGCATTACTCCAACCTCAGCCTCCCAAGTAGCTGGGACCACAGGCCTGTGCCACCACACCCGGCTAATTTTTAAACATTTTTTCGTAGAGACAGAGTCTTCCCATGTTGTTCAGACTGGCCTTGAACTCATAGGCCCAAGAGATCCTCCCTCCTTGGCCTCCCAAAGTGCTGGGATTACAGGTGTGAGCCACTGCACCCAGCAACCCTGATGATTCTTAATCTGATTTTACTTTTATTTTACTATGTCGGCTTCTAAGCAAACACTACACTAAACTGTGTGGCAATCAAAGTAAAATCAGATTAAGAATCATCTGATTAGAAACTTCCATCTAAATGGAATATTTAGAGAAATGGTGGGTAACCCTGCATCACATCCTGTAGTCGAGTCTGTTACAAGAAAACAAGACAATTGTGCTCCTTGTGGATCACAGACATGCTCAAGTTCTAGAACAGAACTTGCCTCATCTTGTAAGTGGTGCAGATCATGACTTGCCCTTTTTACATCTTCAGTCATTAGAAAGTCAGCCAGATATGGGAGTCTAAGAATCCTTCTAACCTTTGGAGCTCTTCTCTTCTCCTCTACCTCCCTGTCCGTGCATGATCCAACTCCGTCCTGCTACTACTGTTCCCTTGGTCCGGTGAGGAGACTCATGCGCCTAAAGGTTCCTATTCCTGGGAGGGTGGTGGACACTGTCATTCTTCAGCTTGAAACAACTACTAAACAAACCCATCTCTACCACGGGAACATGAATCCCACTCATGGCATAACTTCCATTTGTTATTATGCAAAAAGTTTCTACTTCCACTAGAGTGAGGAGAGGAATGACGTCAAGAGGAGCCTGGAGCGCAAGTGGAGTCTAAAGAGATTCAGTGGCAGCCGGGCACAGCGGCTTAGGCCGGTAATCCCAGCCCTTTGGGAGTCGGAGGCAGGCGGATCACAAGGTCAGGAGTTCGAGACCATCCTGGCTAACATGGTGAAACCCTGTCTCTACTAAAAATATTTTTAAAAATTAGCCGGGTGTGATGGCGTGCGCCTGTAGTCCCAGCTGCTCAGGAGGCTGAGGCAGGAGAATGGCAGGAACCCAGGACTCGGTAGCTGTCACTCCCTTCCCACGTCCTGTAGCAAGGTTTCATCAGAAGCAGCATTTCTTCTTCTACCTTTGAATAATCCAGTTTGCATTTTGCGTATTGATTCAAAAGTCAGAAAAGTAAAAACGAATATAAAAAACAACATATTGAGCATTGAACTATCTGAATCCAAAGCATATGGTGGTTGTATAGGAATTGTTATTTTTTCCCCCGTCACTGGTTTTTTTTTTTTTTTTGCCTTTCGTTGCATGAGAATAAAACACTTTCACAGAGCAATTTGGAAAGTTCAAAATTGCTGGGCATGAAAAATGATTTTCATTTTTGGACAGATGTGATATATTTTCAGAAGCCATTTATATCCACCTGCTGTGCCAGTCTTTGAGAAATCTGACTTAAAAATCGTAGCCTGATACAAGACACGACAGGTTTCTGTACAGAGCCTTTGCTAAGCCTTCCTGCTTGGATTCAAAGATAATAACTCTATGGCATACAAATACCTTGCAAAAATAGGTATTTTTTGTTTATACCTGAAAAAATATAACTAGATATGCAGTTTTACAAAGAGATGGCAAGTTGATATTTATTTTATAGAAGAACTGGACGTAATAACTTTGTTGTTACTTGGTGTGTGTGTGTGTGTGTGTGTGTGTGTGTGTGTGTGTGTATTTATTTATTTATTTATTTATTTATTTATAGGGTTTGGTTCTATTTGGAGCATCAGGCATCCACTGAGGATCTTGGCATGTTATCTCCTATGGATGGGGAGGGAGGGGCTACTGTATGTCATAAAGTTCAGTGGAAAAATCCCAGTGGGGAGGAGTCCAGACAGAGGAAAGAGCCCAGCAGGATTTGTTAGTGACTGATTCCAGTTTTAAAAAATAGTTTATGTGATAATTAAGCAAATGAATAGTCATATTTTCTAAATGTGGGTTTTTAGGTTGCCATTGACAGAAAACGAAGCTGCAAAAAGGGGAACCACTCTTACATGCAAAATAATAGAAAGAAAACTCAAGATTACCTAAAAATACAGACAGGTTGAGTTCCTGAGTGAATCCTGACTAGCTTCCACAGTGTTTGTGCAATAAGTATTTATAAATCCTTGAGATAAATCACCACTAAATGACCCGATAGCAAGCCAATACACACACACACACACACACACACACACACACACATTTCCCTTTTGAGAAAACTTTAGGGTTTTATTCTGAGGCCTCACAGCAGTGAAATGGTTTATTTATTTATTTATTTTTATTTTTATTATTTGTTTTTTTGAGACAGAGCCTTGTTCTGTCGCCCAGGCTGGAGTGCAGTGAAACAATCTCGGCTCACTGCAAACTCCGCCTCTTGTGTTCAAGTGATTCTCCTGCCTCAGCCCACCCCCCTCCTGCCCCCCAGTAGCTGGGATTATAGGCGCCCGCCACCACACCCAGCTAACTTTTGTATTTTTTAGTAGAGACGGGATTTTGCCATGTTGGTCAGGCTAGTCTTGAACTCCTGACCTCAGGTGATCTGCTAGCCTTCGCCTCCCAGAGTGCTAGGATTACAGGCATGAGCCACTGCACCGGGCCTGCAATGAAATGATTTTAAGGAAGTAACAAAACAGCACAAAGGGAAACGTGGGGGTTGGAACCCAAATGCTCCCTTAAGGGTTACTCACTTTTCAGCCACTCTTCAGTCCTTGACCTTTCAACCCTTCCAGTCAGCATCTCCTGGAGCTGCCCCGGGAGCACGAAGCCCTGCCTCTGTCCTAGGCTCCAAAGTCCATGATTATTCCCAGGGAGTCTTTTCGAAATATCTGACTATGATGAAGATAATATGTGTTACCAGGGTTATTCTTGTATTGAGTGCTTAGCATGGGCCAGGTGCTACATTGATAGTTTTAACCTGTGTTATCCCATTCACTCCTCGCTACAGCCCTATTTCTATACAATTACTGTGTTTCTTATTCAGTTAAACATTGCACTTCATAGAACACTGCATTATTCCATGAAGTATCTGGGTGCAGTGGCTCACACCTGTAATCCCAGCACTTTAGTAGGCCGGGGTAGGAGGATAACTTGAGGCCAGGAGTGCAACATCAGCCTGGATAGCAGAGTGAGAACTTGTATCTACAGAAAAATTTTAAAAATTAGCCAGGTATGGTGCTAGTTCCCTGTAGTCTCAGCTATTTGAGAGGGTGAGGTAGGACGATCACTTGAACACTGGGGGTCAAGGATGCAGTAAGCTGTGATTGTGCCACTGCACTCCAGCCTGGGCAACAGAGCAAGACCCTGTCTCAAAAAAAAAAAAAAAAAAAAAGGCCAGAGGTTGGGTAGGGAACAGAGGCACTAATTTTTCCAGGGACATGTAACTCAAAAGGGTTGATAAGTTAGACTGCTTGTGATAACTATGATTAACACTCCTCCAACTGTGATTGCAAAAATTCAACCAGGTGAAGTTCCACAGCTGGAGTAGCACTCTTAGAGTGACTTCCATTCTTATCAAGAAACAAGTAACTTTATACTGGTTGGTGAGGATAGAGTGGTAGTTTTCTTGGGGACAAGGAAAAGAGAGTATTAATGAAGAAATGAGAAATGAAATGGTGCTTCCCATGGAGAGAAGAGAATGCTGGAATTTCAAGTGCTTCTTGGAGTTTTTCTAAGAGAAAACTGGAACAACTCATTTTCTCTTCTTTCAAACACAATTTAGCCCTGCCCTGGCCCTAAAAGACAAACAGAATGCAGGAGCTTTGCTAGTCTCCCATGGTTGCTCTTTTCCCTGTAATCAAAATGACAAGAGAAGAATACTTGATAAAATGAAGATGTAGCAAGAATTTATGTCCATCATTAGGCATTAAAGATGGGGTAAAAGGAACTAATACTTACAGAAAGCTGAGTAGGGTAGCATTTCTTGGCCTCAGTGCTGTCATGGTCTAGTGGAATGGACAGAGTGGCACAGGGATACCAATGTAATCAGTAAAAGTGAAGTACAAACAACTAGACTCACAGAGGAATGAGTAATTGTCTCTTATCTGGAAGCCCAAGGAAAGCACCATTTAGAGATTACATATGAACCAAGCCCTCTACAAAAGGGTTCCTGGGCATCTGTGTCAAAAACAGACAGATTAAAAAAATTACCAATGCATTTGATGTAGAACCAAGGTTGAGAACTACTGGAAGAGGTTAGAGAGTGAGAAACTGGATTTTGAAGCTGTAGCTTTTAGGCTCCCTGAGACCATGGAGCACTTGATTGCTGTGGGCCGGGTGTGATGGAGAAGGCTCCTATCAGAGCAGCTGCAATAGGGATGGGAAGGAAGACGCTAAAGACACAGGTGCACTTGACGGGAGGGACAGGAGGGAGAGGATGCAAAAGGGGACCCGCTAAATTGTGAACTCCCAAGGGTGGGCACTGACCTATCTCTCCATCCCAGAGTGCCCAGTATGTGACTCACACAACATGCCAGCAGTATAGATACTTGTTGAATAAATAATTGAACTGGGTAACTATATTTTAAAAATTTGGAAAACTGGGCAGCTGAGGAATAGAGTATCACCAAAACACAACAAAGAAATTCAGAAGGAAACATATTTAGAGAAAAAAAGTGAATTCAGTCTTAGACTTTTTCGGTGTAAGTAATTAAACATAACAATTCAAAGATTCAAACGTCTCAGAAGTCTGTCTAATATGCAAAAGAAAATCAAGTCATAGGGCCCTCCTAAATTCCAATATTTTGTCACCCCCTCCTATTTCATTTGTATGTGACCAGGAGACTAAAACATGCATTGTGCTCCCAACAGGCTAAATCTATTCTGGGATCCACTGAATGCCACTAGCGGGTCTGCTCGAGAGAATTCCTGATTGAATGACAACGGCGCTAAGAAAGGTAAGTCATGGTTGGGAAGCATCAGGGAAGAATGGAGCCCAGATATCCTAAATTAAAATATAAAAGGCTAACGTTATTGGGCATGTACAGCTAAATTTCCAACATCCCACTACGCCTCCCAAATCCAGCACATTCCACCTAACACACACACACACACACACACACACACACACCACACACACACACTTCCCTCTGAGGCAATCAATGGGCCCAAACTGACTTTTTATGGAACCATAATCTAGAAAGAAATGCCCATGCCAAAAATGTCAATGCCCAATAATTTATCAGAAATCAATGCTCTATTCTATGTCCCCAAGCTCAACACTAATACTGTAACCTCTTAAATGTGCCTTGTTGTCTGCAGCTTGAATTCCTTTGTGGTTTCCCATATGTTATTTGGATGACGGCTGAAACTCTCACACACTGGTTGTTATAGACTGTGCAGTTGAAATTAATAGAATAGAGACGTACTCTGGTGACTCACTATTTTACCTCTTCTGACTCATAATTTCTCTCTTTTGTTTTTTCACATTATTGATCAGTGAATATTCTAGTAGTGTAATTCATCTGTATCTCAAGGCTAAAAATAGAACAGTAACCTTGACTGGGGAAAGGGGCTGAATAATCTTAACATCCAGGTGTGAAGAACAGGTTAATTCGGAAGAGAAAGGGGAAGAAGGGGCTCCCCGGGAGAGCAGGAGGAAGGCAGAGGGCCTTGGGGGTGGCTGTTCCCCGAGCGGTTCGGTATTTATACCATGTGCTCTGTCATATCCAGGAAACAGGAAAAGAAAAGCAATCATTGGGAAAAATATTAATACCATAGAGAGGAGAACTGTGTTTCAATTACCTCAATTCCTATGATCCTTCATTAGTAATGGAAGATACATCATCCACAATAGAGAAAACATAAGCGCCTCAGAAATATAAAGTTGTCTATTTCTCTGAAGTCAAAATGACAACATTTTTGCTTATAGCAGAAATGCCTACTAACTTACAAATGAACCATCTGTAAGAATTATTTGTTTAATTATGTGACCCTCAGTTACTAATATGCCCTGGACACTGTAGCTTCTGTGGATTCCTCCGAAATTATCCTGAATATTATAATCTGCTGAGCTCTTACATCATACACCAAGACTCAAGTCAGACCATCAGTTCTTTGACACTTGTTTGTCTTCAAATCATCTTACCAAATACCTGACCATCTTCCTTCCTTAGAGCCTGAGGCTGTACCAGTCCTGGCATTCATATAGACCATTAATATACCCACACAGTGCCTTTATTTTTCTGTGCACAAATGAAGATAAACACACTTATGAAATTAGCAGTTTATGACCATTTCCAGCATCCAGTTGCTGCTCCCTATCTCTTACATCCCCCTGCCCAGCCCCTCTGCCTTCCTGTATTCTCTCCCTCTATTAAAACAATCACAGATCTGATGTCATCAGTTTTTCTTTGATGGAGACACTTTCACCCCAAATGCCACCTCTTTCAAACTTTTTCATTCAATGCCTTTTATCTCTACCTGTAAAATGAAAGTCTTTGTTTTCTGTTTAGAGTTGAAAGAATTTCTTAGCTACACATTAAGCAGGAATAACTATAAATGCTTTTAAGATAAATCTGTTAGCTTTCAAAAAAAAAAAAAAAAAAAGAAGATGGGTCCAAAAAGAAATTACATCCCTGGGCTCCTGCCTTCTTTTCTCTCTTTTCTCCTATCCCTTAAATCTCAGTCAGTCAATTCCCAGTCCTGTGCCTGAGGATGCCCAGGTGATCTGGACCCGGGGCCAATTCCATGGCACCCTGCCCGTCTCTACCCAGAGCAGAGGATCCAACTACAGCCCTGAGGAGTTCCATTAGAACCAACTGGGAAGCTTTTATCAAACTATTGTTTCCTCCCAGTATATTCCCCCATCATTTTAATATGTTCCCATGGGGGTCATGGTTCTCTAAGACTTCTCTTCTACCACCCTGATGAAGAATCAGGGCTCAAAGCCTGTTAGGGGAGAAAAGGAAGGAGTGATGTTTGTGGCTGTTCCGTGGCCTAGTAATCACACAGGAGCACTTCAGATGGACGATGCACATTCAGTTGGCCTTGTATCAGCATCCAGAAGACTCAAGACAGTGGCAACAAAGAGACACGCAGAGACTCTTCACAGACTGGGAAGGGGACAGAGATAGTGACCTGGCAGTGTAGAAAGACATCAATAGATCCCTGAACTATGGGCATATTCTCTATTGAGGTCTCAAGTATTAATATGCATGGACATCAATATGACCATGCTGATTAAATAATAGTTGACCCCGAAATAATGTGGAGTTTAGGGGAACCAACCCCAAAGGGTCACAGTCATCGTGTTTAATTTTTGACTCTCCAGAAACTTAACTACTAATAATCTACTATTGACTGGAAACCTTACCAATAACATCGTCATTGAACGCGTATATTGTATGTTATATGTAGTATGTATCACACATTGTATTCTTACCATAAAGTTAGCTAGAAGAAAAAAAGTATGATTAAGAAAATCATAAGGAAGAGAAAACATATTTCATTAAGTGGAAGTGGAGTGGGTCATGATAAAGGTCTTTATCCATATCCTCACGTTGAGTAGGCTGAGGAGGAGGAAGAGATGGGTCTGGTCTTGCTGTCTCGGGGTGGGGGCAGCGGGGGAGAGGCAGAAGAAAATCCACTTATAAATGGACCCGTGCAGTTCAAACCTGTATTCTTCAAAGGTCAAGTGTATAGCACATCAGAAAACCTGTTAACATAGACAGGCAGGTAGATGCTTACTAACAAAGTACAACAGAAGTAGACTAAAAGTTTGGTTGCTTAAAGTAATTAGGAAAGTGGTGGCAAGGTGAAGTAATTTTTCCATCTCTCCAACCACCCCATGGAAACAGAGCAACTAAGATAACAAAAGCAAAACCTCCCAGACAACATCTCCAATAAAGCAGCGGGAAAACATATCCCTATAAATATCCCTCCCTGTAAATCCCTCCAAATATGTGTGGGTTGGAATAAACTACTGGTGAGATTAAGACCTGTATAGTATCTTCAACACATCAGAGGAAATGAAAAGAGGACAAAGGGACTTCTGATGGCCCCAAGAGGCAGAGAAACAAAAACAGTTCACAAGTACCCACTGTAAGGCTTGGTGGGCCACTCTGGGAAGGGCAGCTGAAACCCCTAAGTCCTGCTGCCTCCAACTTGTGGGTGAACACAAGAGAATCAGCTTGTGTTGGAGCAGCCTGTGCCCCATGAACCCTAAAGGGACCCATAATAGCCATCTCCTCCACAGCAAAACCCCACATTGAGGAGAAACTACTGGCATAGAATCCAAATTGAGCAGGAAAAAGACAAATAGGAGCAAAGGAGGCAAAAGAAAGAAGACGCAGATACAAGTGGAGGGAGGAGCAAAGAGCCAACAGATACCAGATACATATTTGTAAACACATCCAAAAATAACAGAAAAGGCAGCTCTAAATCTCTAGGGCTAGGAAGCTATCCTGGTTCACTCTTCTCTTCTAAGAGTACAAGAAAACTCATCTCACTTAAACATTAAAAAAGAAAAAAATGGCCATCGCATCTATCATAAAGAAAAATGGATTGAGGAATGTAATGTCTCTGCAGGCAATAAAATCATGCCAGAAAGATCTGCAAACAAAACAGAAGAAAATGTAGCCTCATATTTTAAATCAAGCTGAAAAAAAAGATAGCAACTTTTAAAGAACAGCATAACCCAGAATTTTAAGAACTCAAAAAGAAGCTAATTTGAAAAAACAAAGACTTGAAAAGGAGTTTATAGAAATAGAAAAATATTAGAGTTGAAGGAAAAACTTATTTCGAAATTTTAGACTAGACTAGAAGAGACAAAATAGTGAATGAACACCACAGAAAGTTCCTTAAGAAAAATAGAAAAGGAAAGAATGAATATTTTTAAAATAAAAAGATTTTAAAATATATATGAAAAAGGCATAGACAGTAGGAATAGGAGAACCAAAGAACATGAAATAGAAGTTCCTAAAAAAGAAAATCAATGTAATGAAAGAACAAATATTATCAATTATAATTCAAAACCTGCTTTTCTGACCTGAAAATATACTTGCCCAACATTTGAAAGGACATACCTGGTGGAATTGGCCCAGAATGGGCCACATATAAACACAGTCTAGTAAAATTATTGACCCAGAATGGGCCACATATAAACATAGTCTAGTAAAACTATTGACCTTTAAATAAAAAGAAAAAAGGGGGTTTTTTTGGCACTAATTAAAAGGTCAGTATCCCTTATAAGAGAAAGAAAATCAGATTGTCATCAGACTTTTTGACAATGCTTTATGCCAGAGGAAATGGTATAAAATATTTAAGAAATATTAAGGAAAGCAGATGTGAGCTAAAGATTTTATACCCAGCAACATTGATCTTTAAATACCGTGGTCACAATTCTTAATAAACATACAAGAACTCAGGGAGTAATGTTCCTATGAGCCTTTCCTGGGGAATTTATGGAGACCAAGCCTCAGAAAACCAATATGACTAAAGAGACATCGACAATAGAACTGGCGGTGAACATTAAGTAGACATTTTTGTGTAACTCATAATGTCTGTAGTTTACAAGGGAGAGAGTATAAAATGTGATGGCCATTTTCTCTATATGCAATTAACTGTAAAAAATGAGGAGTGGCATAAATTGGAAAGAGAATATAAAAAGTAGAATAAGCTCTGTGATTGCCTCAAGGATATCAATGGAGAATAAAAACATACCTGTTGAAAATAGATGCCAGGGAACGGGAGAAGGTGAAGAAGGGATTATTAGCTAATTTCAATTTTATTCATAGTAGGATGGGGGAAAAAAGTAAAAATGGGACTAAAGGTATTATTTACAGATATTAATAAAATTCTAGATTATATAAAGATGTTAATAAAGGGCTCAGAACAAAATAGCACAAACATTTCTAAATACAAAAAGAGTCTGGGTGCAGTGGTTCACACTTGTAATCCCAGCGTTTTGGGAGGCCGAGGTGGGAGGATTGCTTGAGCTCAGGAGTTCAAGACCAGCCTGGGCAACAAAGTGAGACCCCTATTCCCTACAAAAAATTTTAAAAATTAGCCAGGCACAGTGGCATGTGCCTGCAGTCTCAGCTGTTCAGGAGGCTGAGGCGGGACAATCCCTTGATCCCACAAGTTTGAGGTTGCAATGAGCTATATTGGTGCCACTGCACTTTAGCCTAGATGACAGAGTGAGACCCTGTCTCAAGAAAACCCACAGAACAGAAAGATAGGCGCGCGAGAGAGAACACATGCACACAAGCAAATAATGTAGGCAGGTGCTTTTCAGACTCTGTAAGAAGGACTACTTTTTTTCCCCAATAATTTGTAAGCGACACTTGTAATATACAAAATCATATACTTGAATTTAGTGGCAATATCAAATTACTTTAAATGTTTCTAAATGTGTTTTGCTGTTGTTGTTGTTGTTTTTACTGTCTATTCACAAGTCATCATAGCTTGGTAGCAAACAGTTCATGGAGCAGCCTTGATATCGACCACATAGGAAAAGGGTAGAAATGTAAGGCAATAAAGATAGAGGTAGTCACCGGTATATAGATGTGAATATGTTTGCATGCTTGTATGGATGGAAATAACATGTAACAAATGTGACAAAGGTGATGCCAAGCATTTGGATCCTAAAAATACATTTACTGATTACATTTACATTTATAAAAAGATTTCCAGATTACCTAACAAAGCAAAATGCAACACTCCAGGTTATATACATATAAACTTTTAATAATAATGTATATGTTTCAGGTGGAGAAAAGTCTGTATAGTATGCTACCAATTATCTAACAAAGGAGATATGGGATAAAAAATACAAATATATATCAATTTTGTATAATTTGTCTACAAATTATGTACAAATATATACTAACGGACATATAAATTACAGCCTTTAAAGATAAAATATTTAAAGGTAAAGAAAGGAAATAAGATTGAGGAGACAGGGAGAAAAACTAGACTTGTTTTGTAAATTTGACTTTAGAGTCATGGAAAGCTTTGCGTTATTATAAAGCAAAATTAAATTTAAAATAAAGTGATTCCTAAACATCAAAAGTAAAATAAGCCTGTTGAGCCTGTCTATCCAGTAGGTGGCAGAACAGCACCTAAGGGACTATTCCAAGTGACTGTAAAACACAGTAATTTGACTGTTTTAGCGGAATCTTATCATAAGGACAAAAACAACTGCAAAGTATCTTAAGCTGACTTTTGTAATCATTTTGCTAGTGGTAGTCTTATATTTATTCGACTGTTACACGTGTGTATTATGAATACAGCAAATGAATAATTGTATTCATGTCAATAAAATTTGAAATTTGACAGGGAAAAGGACACTGTAAAAAAAGTCCTCCACTTGAATTTGAATAGGAAACATTATCATGAATTCATCATGAATATTATCTTATTAAAATACATGTTCTCTAGCTTTGTTCTCTGAAAAGACAGAACATGCTCAATCTTTCACACACAGATAATGTTCTCTACATACCATTTTCCACTAAAAGGAATCAAAGGCTCCCTGAAGAAATAGATGATTACAGGTCTATGGAAGGAAGTGTACAAGATGGACCTGGAATATCATAAACTGCTTCAGAACTCTGCAATTAAGTTAACTCTGCAATGAACTGAAACACATCAAATATTAAAATTCATGAATTCCTAATGATACTGTTAAAATAAAATAGTATTGATCATCCTTGGAAAATGCAAGGAAACCAAAATCGTTATTTTAAAAAACTAGCAAATAAAAGGAAGAGATCAACCATTTTTTCTAACTTCCCTATGCATATTATTCCAAGTAACCAAGTAGTTGATGAGATGTTTCTCTTGATGGAAGTATTCCATCTAATAAATGAAGAAGGAATTTTAAAATTCTAGTATCGCCATTTTGGAACCTTTAATGAATTATTGGGTGTGGACAATGATAATCAATGACTGCCAACATCACAAAAAGGCCACCAGACATATGCTTCTGTGTGGAGGTACACACCACCACCTATCGGGTATTTTGGCCAAAAATTGAACCTCAATCTGATGATGTCCCTGGGTCTACTGTATTCAATACTAGTCCCACATGGCTACTGAGCATTTGAAATGTGAGTAGGCCAAATTGAGATGTTCTGTACATGTAAAATACAAACCAGATAGCGAAAACTTTATATGAAAAAAAAGTAACCTATCTCAATAATTTTTAATATTGACTACATACATAATATTTTTGACATATTGGGTTAAATAAAATTGTATTATTAAAATTAATTTTAATTGTTATTTTTTCTTTTTTAAATGTGTATTATAAAATTTAAAATTATATTTGTGGCTCATATTTCTATTGTGTGGTGTTGTTCTTAATTCTAACTACAACTTACAGGAAATACGCTGGACAGAGGAACATGTTAAATGACACCAGAGGATAGAAACAGTAAAACCCAGGCTTTAGAAAACTCTGCAACTTATATTTCTAATCCGTTTTAATGGTGGGGTCAAAGTTACTAAAAATTTATAAACATGAGCACTGTAATTAATGTGTAATGTAGTCCTAAACATCAGTATCTGCAAAATCATAGATTTGATATCTCAGTTTCACTTTCACTATTGCTCAGATAATGCATAACAATAAAAAGCCTATATATTTGCATTGGCTAAAGTAATTTATCACCAGTGGTTTATGAACTGCACCATGGAAAACAGATAGATTTTCAATTTTTAATAATCTGAAAACTTAATTCTCTCAGTTTGTTCAGATAGATAAATACATAGTTATGATTTCTATACTATTAGAAAACTTTTATTTTTTTAACCAATATAATTAATTTTAATAATATATTTTGTTTGACATAATAGATCTAAATATCAATTTCAACATGTACTAAATGTAACAATTATTAATGAGAAATATGACTTTCCTTTGGCTTTGTATGAAATATTTGAAATGTGGTGTACATTTTTCACTTACAGCACTTGCAGTTCAAATGCTATATTTTTATTAGGAATATTTAATCTAAGTAGATACCTTAAAATTTACATTTGAAAAAAATAGATTCAGATACCTAAGTTGTTACAAACATACTTAAAAGTTTTCAATGACTGATTTGAGTATCAGTTTTAAAATTTAAATCAACGGAGTTAATTAAAATGAAATGAAAATTTAGAAACTCCATTTCTTAGTCACATTGGCCACATTTCAAGTAGAAAGCCTTTGTTTTAAATTCACTTTGTCCTAAAGCTGCAAGTAGAATTTCTACATCTTATCAGAATGGACTTGTTTAAAATCTTTTTCAATTAAAACATAATACCAAACCACTTAGATATGTAAAATTTTAAAATTCTCCCTTTTCTCTCTTCCATCTTTACTATTTTCCCCAAATTTGAGATCAAATTAATAAATATATTTAGAATGTTTCTAACTTTAAAAGTTAAGTACTGAATTAGGCTTACTCAGACTTCACTTTTAATACAGTATTTCTTACATGTCTAACATAATAGGTGCCCAAAAATATTAGGTAATTTGTCTCCGTTTATTAGATCAGGAATTATTTCATAGTATCTAAACTTTTTACTTTTGCCTTTACCCATTTATGAAAAAAAAAATCATTCCAGCTTATCATGCTTTAATATCTTATTGGGATAAATAAATAAGATTAAATAAATAATTTACAGAAAGATATCTTACATTCTCTATAGCAAAACACTGATGAATACAGTGTGTGTGTATTGAAAGTCAATCTTGTGGTTTTTTTACTCACGTTGCACCAAAGCGAGAGAACACTAGGGGGCAGTGTTGTTAGAGCAGAACTCTCAAGAGGCTTGGAAAGGAGCGCTCAAATCACCAGCAGCTAGTGCGATAAACGGGGTCTAATAGCAAGAAAAGAATGCGTTCATTTAACTTTACTTTGTGAAGTTATATGGACCATATGCATATTATTCACAAGGTCTTGGAAGAGACGCTTTGTTCAAACCCTGAGTCCATAAGCTTAGGGACAAGCTCTTCCTGGAAAGGTCTTTCTTATGGAATTTTCTGTCCCAAAGAAGATACAAAAGAGTAGAGCATTGCCAGAAAGTAACAATTCATAAATAGTAACCCCAAGTGCCAGTATAATATTTAGTTCCTACCTCATTTTAACCTTTCCTTGTATCCACCATTCCTTTTATTTTCTTCTACTCACCCAGGCTTCTTTGCAGCACATTTTAAGGACATTCTGAGAGCATCGTAGCTCTCACTCCATTTCAACTCAGTGAATTCTAAGGCAACAAAAGTGTATTAAGTAATTAATCCATAATGCCAGCCACTACCTGAAAGGATAAGGCCAAAGCTTTAAAAAAAAAAAAAAAAAAATCAAAAGCTGGGAAAACTTATTTACATTTTCTGAAATTACATAGTTGTTGTCTATTTTAATGGCATGAGTAGTGACTTTATGCTACATTTTGCAAAAAGTATTGAGCATAATCTATAGATACTTAATATATGATGAGGTAAACATTTATACCTCAGACTGGAACCAGGCAGACAGCTAAGTTCTCTTGCTTTTTAAATATGCAATGAATTTTCTAATAGTCAAGTAACAAATCCACTTTTCTTTCTCTTTTAGAAAATTAGAATCTATATGTATTAAAGAGCTGTGCTCCAAATTGTGAGTCTGGCCTACTTAAATTTGAATAAATCATTCTAGAGAGTTGACATTATTTAGTTTTGAATAATTCTTGAAGTCTTTTTGGACTTTGTAATTGAGCAGCTAGTGGTTCTGATGATTTTAAAAGTCCATGATTAATATAATTAATCCTAGTTGGTTTTTAGTCATCTCTTCAGATCTTTTGTACCTGGAATTTCTATAACCTATTTGCCTGAAATTGTATAAATAATAAATGGTTTGCCCTCCTCTATATCGTGGCAAGCATCCAGGTTTCTGCGACTCGAAATTTGAGCTCCTCTCAGCTTCTTTCAGGTTTGAGATCTTTTTAGCCCCACGCTATCAGTCAGAATCCCATGAAAGAGAATCTCATTAAGAGGGCTGAGGTGAACTTAAAGTAGGGTCTGTTTACAGAGTAGGGAGCAGGGTTAAGAAAATACAGCCAGAGAGGCTGAGGTACCCAGAGATAAGCACAGTGGGAAGCCCTCACCACTGTAGGCCTGAAGAGTCAGACGAGGGGAATGAAGGGGGTTCCCAAGTCTGTGGGCACTAGAGCTGTGGACAGGCTGCCATCGCAGAGGAGCAGATTGCTGCTGAAACACCAGCACAGGGAGGAAGTGGCACAGAAGGACCCAGAGCTGTCTCCCCCACCCTCAGTACCCCCATCCAGGCCCTTGCCTGGACCACCTGGAGCAAGGCAGGGAAGAGCCAAGCCTTGGGGATGGTGGCCTAGGAAAGGGAGGGTCACCGGCCACTGAACGTTCTCACTCTTAATTAACAGCGTTTTACGCTTCGAGGGGGTCTCTGTGGTTCTCCTCGCCTTTTCTTTTTACTTCACTCACCACATTCTTACCAAACCAAAGGGAAAACAACAGTGGAGGAAAAGTCTTACACACGTCGGGCTTTTAGACAGAAGCTTTTTTTTCCCTCATCTCATGTATCTTGTCTTTTGTTTGGTTCAAAAGGAATCATTTTCTGCTCTATAAAAATCTAAAACTTTGTCTTCTCAACATCTCGCTATGATAAGCTTTTAAGTGGATCTTCTTAAGCCCACTTAAAAGATGCTGCACCCTGATTTTGTTGCTGCACCCTGATTTGGGGAAGCTTAGTCAGTGATCCCATGAGAAGGGAACCTGTGAGAGATTCATTCTCTCCTGAATCGCTTAGGAGGCCCCATTAAAGCCCCTACTAAACTCGTCATCCCCAGCCTGGACCATGTTTGGTCAATTTCCAGTTTTTCCTTTCCTTGCAATAACCCACTTGAAATTCCATCACGGAAAATAAATAATTCAAATGTAAAACGTGTTGTCACTTTTATAAAATATTGGTCTCCTTGTCCCACCCTCACCCCCTCCCTTTCTCCCCTTCCTGATTTTTACTGAAAGGAGGAAAGACAAGGAAATCTCAACGGTTTCATTCTCAGCACACATTCTAAGTCTGTCATTAAATGACCGCGGATTTTGTCACATACATATGGACAAAACTCTGTAAGAAAGCAATTGATTAAAGCCAATGAGCATTTGCTGCGCTGAAATGGAATCAGTGAATACAAATTTATTCTGTTTCTTTTCTTTTTTCTAAGAATCCTCTCCATTATTCAAAAGAAGCCTGTCTTATCTTGTTTCCAAACTCCTTTTCCCTTTCTTTCCCCTGTGCTGTTGATTTCCTACCTTCTTCCCACTTGAGTCGCCGGTGCAAGAGGGGGGTTCCTGCTTGGGTACCCACATCAGTAGGTTTTGTCTCCTCATCTGCTTGTCTTCTGAAGATGAATCGTTGGCAGAACTGAAAAAAAAAAATCATGGAATGGCTTTTTTACATTTCTGCCAGGGGGAGGCTATTTTGTAATCTTTTTGCAGCCTTCCTGTGCACAACCCAATCCCAAGCTGACTTGATTATCTCCTTAACTGTTTAGAGCAAAATTTAAAACTGGATTTTGTTACCTGCCCCAGGAGCAGATGCAACGTCACTGGGTTGTCTTGTGAATTGCCAGGGTTCCTTTTCTTTTACAGACAGATCTGAAAGGTCTTCCAGGGACCTCCTGTTAGCTAAATAGTCTTGATGGTTATTACAGAGAAGTTGTAATTCTTTTTGAAAGTATTTATGCACTCATCCATGCCAATATTTACAGTTCAGTTGATTTTTCCAGGTTGTGTAAGTTGCTAACAATGGAACTCCATTTATTTATTTATTTATTTATTTATTTAGAGACAGGATCTGGCTCTGTCACCAGGCTGGAGTACAGTCACATAATCATGGCTCACTGCAGCCTCTGCCTCTCAGGCTCAAGTGATCCTCCCGCCTTAGCCTCCCCAGTAGCTGATACTACAGTTGCGCACCACCACACCTGGCTAATTTTTGTAGAAAACAGATTTCACCATGTTGCTCAGGCTGGTCTGGAACTCCTGGACTCAAGCATTCCACCCGCCTCAGCCTCCCAAAGTGTTGGGATTACAGGCATAAACCACGGTACCCAGCTGAGACTCCATTTAAATAGGTGGCTTTCATGTGAATTATTAATTTTGGTAAAGAGAAGAGAAAAGCTGATAGATCAGTGTTTAACAATCATTTTATGAACTAAGTTCAAAAGAGCAACTAGGGCCTCCAGACTTCCCTACTTTACAAAGTAATGGCTTGGCCAAGGATGTTCCAAACAAGAAATCTTTTCAAATTGTGATTTAAATCATTAAAATAGGGAGACCAAGATGAGTAAACCAATATAATGAGGCAGACTAAGTAGGAGATTTTTAATGAACATTTTCAAAGCACAGGGAAAGAAGCCACAAAGAGTAAAAGGATTTTTCTGTACATACTGTCTTATTAATCTAGATTTATCTTGTTTATTGTGGAACTATGTGACTGGGTTAGCCATCAGGGGAGAGAAGTAGTTTATGATGTGAAAGCTCAGTCTCCAGAGATAAAAATCTCTTCAATTTGCCATTTTTCAAAATATCACAAAGAAATCCATTTTTCCATGGTCTTCAATAAAGAAAGCGTGTCAAGGCAAGACACACGTACAAAAAAGAAGTCAACATGGCTTGTGACAATGGGATAAGTAACAGCTACACTTAAATATTCTATATGTAATGTAGTTTTCTTTTTGTGTGGAAAAGGGTAGGACAAGATATGAGATTCCTTGTCTGGAGAGTGAGCGAGATATTAATATATTAAAGCAGGAATGTCTGAAACATGCATTGTGTATTTTCTGCTGCCTCGGCCCAAATCAGGCATAGCTCTGGGGAGAAGGGAGAAGGATAATACCAACCAAAAAGTATCTCTGTGATTCTTCAGGCTGCTTGGGCAGTCAGCCTCCAGAAGAGACCTCACTCAACTTTGGGTCATCCAGGCACACTGGCCACTCACCACCTCTGTGATATTATTTCAAGGACACCAACCCCCAGGTTCCCACCACTGCCACTGGCCAATATCTGAAATTCCCCTGACAGAGCTTCCTCATTAACATAAGGCTTTGACTCCAGACATAAACCAACCATGTCTCTTACCCTTTTCTTTGAACTCTATCCCCCCAACCCAAAATACAGACAGGAGATGAACAAATACAAATATATAAGAATTCCATTTAATTCTAATCATTTCAATATTTATTGAAAAAGTCTGAGCAAGACATCAGCAAGAAACTATAAAATCTCAGAATGGGCTGGTGCTTTAGAGATACAAGAAATGAGGTCTTTTGTTTTTTAACTTCAAGTCAAGACTGACAAGTTAACGTCTGTTTTGGGGATCATTAAGACAAAATAGTTGAAGTCTTGGATGGATAGTTAATGCTGCATAAAGCTCATCTGGTCAAGCTACACATCCTGTTTGGATTCATCTGTCATCCCTGATGAGTTATCATACAATGACTGTGTGGATACAGCCTCAGTGTGGATCACTCAGTGGACAGGAAGGCTTCCTTCTCTTCATTGACACACAGCCTCCTGAGCCTGCCTGACACCAGCTCTGTTCCTGCCTGTAAAGGCTACAGGAATTAGTGGAATCCCTCTCTCCTGTGCTTTGCCACTTTATTAAAACACAGGAACCCTCAGAACCTTCTCCTCCTCATCCCTTGCAGCTTTACTTTCTCACATGATATAGTTTCCATTTCCCAACTCTGCTGGACTCACTAAGAAAAGACAGTGCCGTCCACCAGCAAGGACCCAAGTTAGGCTGTTCCAGGGAACCAGGGAACTATGGCCAGCAACTCCCTTCCATCCAGGAGCACAGGGACCAGGCCCTGGGAGGGAAAAGCACAAGATCCTGAGCAACCCAGTGCCTCGGAAGCGCAGCAGTGGAGGCAGGAGGGAGCAGGCAGGGCCCGTGATGCCTTCCATAAACTCATGTTCCGGAAAAGGACAGTGACGAGGAATTTCATGCTCAGATTTGCATTCAGCTATTTATCCCAGTTAAGCCATGGCAGTCAGGAGCTGGAGCTCAGGAAATGTCTGAGCGCATTTACAGCTACCCAGAGCCACAGCCACGGACTGGCATTAAAAACTGATTTCCAGGTCTGGTTGAAAGTGAAGAAACAAACAGTATAAGCTAGAGGTCCCCAACCCCCAGGCCACAGACTGACACTCGTACAGTACACAGTGCATCTTTCAGACATTCCTGTAGTACGGGTCCATGGCCTGTTAGGAACCGGGCTGCACGGCAGGTGAGTGGAAACTTCGTCGGTATTTACAGCCGCTGCCCATCATTTGCATTACTGCCTGAGCTCCACCTCCTGTCAGATCAGCGACATCATTAAATTGTCATGGGAGCACCAACCCTATTGTGAACTGTGCCTGCAAGGGATCCAGGTTGTACGCAACTTGTGAGAATCTAATGCCCAATGATCTGAGATGGAGCTGAGGTAGTGATGCAGTCACTGGAGAGTAGATGCAAATACAGATTAACATTAGCAGAGAGGTTTGACTGTGCAGAGACCATAATAAATCAATTACTTGCAGGCTCTTATCAAAATCCTATCAGTGTGTGGCAAGGGACAATTAAGCTGCCTCTGGTGGCAGGCTTTATAGTGGCAGGTGAGTTGATGTACTTCAATTGTATAGCTGCATCTAGTGTCCTTAAATGTATGTTTGAGAGAACTTCAAATCCCCATACGATCTGGGTTAAAGTCAAGGCAGAATATCCTGAGATTGCAGTGACAGCAACCCAACGAGATTGCAGAGTGAACTGGACATAAGCAACACACTTTGGTGTCACTGTCTCCCATCACCCCCAGATGGGACCATCTAGTTGCAGGAAAACAAGCTCGGGGCTCCCATTGATTCTACCTTATGGTGACTTGTATAATTATTCCATTACATATTACAATCTAATATATAGAAATAAAGTGCACAATAATGTAATGGGCTTGAATCATCCCAAAACCATCCCCCACCCTGGTCCATAGAAGAACTGTCTTCCATGAAACCAGTCCCTGGTGCCAGAAAGGTTGGGGACCACTGGTATAAGCCACAGAGAAAGTACATACATAGTCTAATGTATAATTTATGAAGTATAGTACATACTGTTAATCTAATGATGTCAAGATAAAATCCAAATGTTAAAGACAAAACGCTCTTTAAAATATGCATAGAAATCTGTAATTGGAGCATGTAAGAAAGACGTTATCATGATTACATTTCATTAAATAGTCATTGTAGGAATGTTAGCTTTGAATAAATTATAACCTCAAATATATCTAAGAAAATTATAAAAGTGAAAATAAATACCTCTGAACATACACTTTTTGGACTTTAATAACTGTAAAAATAATTATAACATAGGCATAGTTCTGTGGGTGAAGTGAGTTCAAACACGCAAAGCACTTGGAACAATGCCTGGTACCGAGTAGGCCCAATGTAGCTATTTGCTCTTGGTAGACAGATGCCATTCTTTCTGTTAATTGTAGTCATAATTGAATTTTACAGTTTTTAGAAAGGATGAAAGATTAGTGCTTATTGAAGCTAGTTTTTTGGGGTTTTTTTCCAAACTTTTTTTTAGCAGCAAAATTCAGTTTTCAGTTTTCAAACTCCTTTCTCCAAACAATGGAGGAAATGGGGACCCCAGTGAGTAGGCCTGGAGGAGGAGCTGCTCTGCAGGAAGTGGGGCCAGGTTTATATCCATCAACAATCTCCCCTTGAGGCAACTCTGGAACCCAGTCTGAACCCTAAGCCAAGGCACTCTACCAGTTGACAGATGAGGAAAATAAACCCCAGGGAGGTAAATAAACCGAGGGAGGTAAATGCTCTCATTCTCAAAGCTAGCACAGATTGCTTTCCAGAAAATTAATACCTAACATACCTGGAAACAAGCGCTATTTGCAGGGTGATATTCAAGATATTTAACCAGTGTCCACTCAGAATGGCTCTGCATAGTCAGAGCCTCATCCTGTGTCAGGCATTAACTTTTTAGTTGCTAAATCATAGGACGTTTTTGTGGAAGGCAGGGTGTCAGCGTTGAAGGGTTCAGTATCCGGGGGGCTCAGGACAAGAGGTAATTACCAACTGGTATAAAAGTGATTTTAACAAAGTACATTCATACCAAATGGGTACCAGCTAAATGTCAGCCCTGGGCGTTTGAAAATGTCCTCCGCAGGCTAGAAAAAATCTACATTGGATTGGAATCCTGCTGAGAATAGCTACACTATATATGGAACTCTGGAGACTGTATCTGTTTCTTCCCATTTGGTCTTTCTAGAAATCAAAGTTCTCCTCTGGACTCTTCCAAAACATTAGACATTTACTGGCTTCCAAAAGAAGGAACTCATGGTGATATTGACCAGTTTTAAAGAAAATAAA